TTATATGGGGGCTATCCGAAAAAATGGACCTTTATTTATAATTTTTGGTAGGGATATTTGCTACCCAATAAGAACTCAATGTACCAAATTTCAGCGAATTCAGTTAAAAAACGCGCTCAAGAACCTCAAAATACCGAAAATTTGGGGGTACCCTTATATGGGGGCTATCCGAAAAAATTGACCTTTGTTTATAATTTTTGGTAGAGAGATTTGCTACCCAATAAGAACTCAAAGTACCAAATTTCAGCGAATTCAGTTAAAAAACGCGCTCAAGAACCTCAAAATACCGAAAATTTTGGGGTACCCTTATATGGGAGCTATGCCTAAACGTGGACCGATTTTCTCCAATTTCAATAGGTTTCGTCCTTGGGCCAATTAAGTGATCTGTGCCAAATTTCATCCAAATCGGATCATAAATGTGACCTGTACTTTGTTAACAAAAATACATGGACGGACGGACGGACGGACAGACGGACGGACGGACGGACAGACGGACGGACAGACCGACATGCATAAATCGACTCAGAAAGTGATTCTATGCATATTCTCAAAAGGAACCATGGGTCTATCTCGATTATTTTTGCCTGTTACAAACATATGCACAAAGACATAATACCCTGTACCACAGTGTGGTGAAGGGTATAAAAATGTATACGTTTTTTTTTTGCCAATCGATCTCCAGACTTTAACCTTGACAATTTCAAGATTTCTAAAATGATTCCACTTAAAGTTATCGTTGTTTTTTACAACATTTTTTGTTTAATTATTTCTTTGGTTTATGACATGACATTATGACTTGTATACGCCTCTTAGTTTCCCTCGATGCTAGTAAATTAACAATTCTAAAATATTTTTTTACTGCTTAAAAATAAATAAAAATTCATATTGAATAAGCACTTAAATTAATTTTTTACTCTCTTGTTGTTAAGTTATTTGTTTTTCAAAATACATATCGTGAAGTATATTTGTTTAAGCTAGAAAAAGACATCTCGTAAAAATGTTTATTAAATATTCTAGTATTGGGTATAAAAAAATATATGGGAAAGAAACCATAACGCAATATATTCACTTTCTATCAATGAAATGTATTAAATATATCAGAGTTCTTTGGGAGAATATAGTTATGGGTAAATTGAATATAGTTATGGTTGAATCGAAAGCTATATAGGGACTTTGGTGCACCATTTACATAAAATTGGACGAAAATATATATATGGGAGCTATATCTAAATCTGAACCGATTTTCACGAAACTCACCACATATCATTCTGGACTTAATTGAGTTGCGCTATGCCAAATTTCGTTCAAATCGAAAGATATATAGGGACTTCGGTACATCATTTACCTTAAATCGGACGAAAATATATATGGGAGCTATATCTTAATCTGAACCAATTTTTTTTCCAATTTAAATAGGGTTCGTCCTTGGGCCAAATAAGTGAGCTGTGACACATTTCATCCTAATCAGATCATAAATGCGACCTGTACTTTGTTTACAATTTAACATCTACAGACGGACGAACGGACGGACGGACATGCATAAATCGACTCAGAAAGTGCCTGTTACAAACATATGCACAAAGACATAATACCCTGTACCACAGTGTGGTGAAGGGTATAAATAGCTTTGTCAAACTTTTTCCAAAATCCCAAAAAGCAGGAAATATTTTTTATTAATTTTCGGCGCCATCAAGTATCTTTTTCCAGTAGCTTTTTCCCAGAAGAAATCCATGCCCCTCATAAAGATCGCCCCTAATGTTTTATGATTATGCATATTACCACAAAGGAAATATATAACACGGTAATAAAAAATCCGATCTTATCTATTTTTTCAATTTAATATCTTGACGCATAATATAGTGCATGCGTGTGATTTAAAATCAAAATGTTTTTAATTTTTATTTTTAACAGCCACCTGGAGAAGATATTCATATTTAAATTCCCCTTGATTTGTTTAAGCGAAAGTAAACACTTCGAAATGGCTTTTAATGTACTTTCGTTGACAAAAGTGGTTCATAAATTATGCAAAACCCCTAGCCAATGAATTGACTGCCGAACTGGTTGTTGCGGTAGTGGTGAAAGAGGTGAGAATTTCACATTACGGCTCGTGTTGGAAATTATCAATTACATTTTAGAAGAAAAAACGCGACAAGATTTTATTATTAGCTTTTATTAAGAAAATAAATGGCGCCGGAAGGGTAATGCCTTTGCCAGGTTAAACGATCTGCATAAAAAACTGATATGAAACTCTACTGATGATGACTGGTTGATCAAAATTTCTATCACTTAAAATCATTAGCTATTGGCCTTGAGCAAAACCAAGCAACAACAAACAATTTTGGTTGTCGTATGTGGATAACAACAACAGAAATACAAAATCTTGTCAGTAGCTGTAGTTTTTTTTTTTAATTCAAGCAACAGCACAAGAAAAAAGATCGTTAAGTGTAATCAGCCAATGTTTGGTACATACTTTTTTTGAGGTGCAATTGTTTTTTTTATTTTAACTGAGATTTTTTGCAAACAAGTAAACACGCATACTCGGCGCTTGTGCAGCTACCTTTTGGAGCCACTCAATCGCCACTTAGCCTCTCGAAATGTGTTAAACATAAATTAGTCATATGTAAACGTCAATTTGTTAGGAGAGAGGGGGGTCGATTTGTTTTTGTCGTTGCTACTGCAACAAGTAAAATTGTTTATTTCAATTTATTTGCCATATAATTAAAATCATTTCACATAATTTATTTTGTTTTTGTTGAGTGACCTTTTTTTCTAAGTAGGGATTTTTTGCGGTATTTATTTAGATCTTTAATATTATATTTAGTATATTTTTTTTTTATTTTAAAAATGTCATTTCGAAAATAATATTTGTATAGCAATTTAATATTGATACCCTACATCATTAATTGTCGAGTTCATGTAAGGTTAATGATATTTGTTTTCTTTAATAGCTGAGAATATTGTTAACGTGCTAGAACGTGCAGTAAAACACTTGTCATTTAGCATTTCCGGTTCTTAGAAGCTAAAATACCTCTTGCAGAAACATTTTAACATGTTTTTATATACCCCAATATAAGTGACCCACACTTTCCAAACGGTGTGGCTACAGTAGGGCATTTCGGATTTTCAGTGATTTAAGGACCTCCAGGCAAACATGTTCAATATAGGTCCATATGTTTCTCCATTGTCTACTTTTAGTGAACGGGTTGTTGGTATAAAAACCTCCTTACCGAAATTTAATGAACTAGCATAAGAGCCGTAATTGATTGCTGGCTATTTTGAAGACTCTCTACACAAATTTTCTAAAACAAAGTTGTTGTATTTTGGAAAATAGTTCAATTATATCAGTCCATATTATTTTAGGTGTTTTGAAGATCCTAGCAGTGTAATAAATAAGTGGTTGTAAAAATATAAATAAGGGTTATACATTCTTTCAGAAATGAGGTCTTATAAAAAAAATTAAAAAAGTGTCAGTCGGTGTTGTCGACAGGGGAGGTACCAGAAGAGGTTGCTCCATAGACCTCAACTTCGTTTTAAATGTAGGTTTGGTAAAATATTACGATGTACAAACAATGGATCATGTCCGGTAGTCAGTCCGCTTTAAATTAAATTTTTTTAACAGAAGATCCTCTTTAGAGAATGTACAAGAAAGAGTGGCCCGATGGGTTTCATCTTCGGATTTAACCAGAAGAGCTTCCTCCATAGACCTCAACTTCGTTTTTAATGTAGGTTTGGTAAAATATTACGATGTACAAACAATGGATCATGTCCGGTAGTCAGTTCGCTTTAAATTAAATTTTTTTAACTGATGATCCTCTTTAGAGAAAGTACTAGAAAGATTGGCCCGATGGGTTTCATCTTCAGATTTAATCTAGGTTTGGTAAAAATATTCCCTTTTGGAATGTATCAGACATTCCATCATCTAGATATTGGATAAACAAATTTTCAAAATGTTGACACTTCGTGGGGAATGTACCAGATACAGTGAAAAACCGGGTCCCACCTTCAAGCTTGATATATGTAGAGTAACTTCCGGTAATGTGGACCACCATTTTCTTTTTTTGATGTTGTGGGCGTACCAACGGTAAAAACTGAAAACAAATTGTTTTCACAACATAGTAGATTTGTAGGCTAAATATGCTCCAGGTCAAAAATTATATATATTTGTCTATAAAAATGTTATTGCATTATATTTCAAAAAACTCTAAGCTGCAAATAAAAATAACTTGGCGTGTAATGTGGACCAGTATGTGTGGGTAATGAGTATCAGTACGATAAAGGTAGGTTGTGGTTTGGTTGTGATAAATTTCAATTTATTACTCTCTTGGGTAACAACGAATGCAAAAATATATGGATTCATGTTTTGGAATAGCCCCCATTTAAGGGTACCGCCCCATTTGCGGTATTTTGAAGGTCCTTGCTTCATTATCCAGCCGAAGCACCTGTAATTTCGCATATCGAGTTTTCAGAGGATAGAATACCTCATCGCATATTAAATTCACCCACGTTTCGAACTCGTCCTCATGAAAAGGTCCCACTTTTTTATAGTGGTCCACATTACCCGACATTGAATATTTTTATTTAGAAATAATTATCGGCTTCAAAAAAGAATAAAAATTAAAAATCGCCGATTGTAATTACAGCTAAACGTATACTTTTGTTAAAGAAAACAAGAAAAACCACATAACTTCTTTATATTCGAGAAAAACAATGTGTTCGACTATTTTGCAAAAAGGTTCGACTATTGTGCTAAAAAATTTTTCAAATCACACTTTTACAATCAGAGCTACATTTTCTACTACCAAACTTTCAACTTTGCAATTATTTATTAAAAACCAAGTTTGATGTTTGTTTTCACTAATTAGGAAAACATTTATCAAGGCGGCATTGACATATTTCAAGCATTTTCTTAGATATGGGGGGTGGTCCACATTTGACGCATGGTCCACATTACCCGAAGTTACTCTAAGGTATATATAGGGTGAGATTAAAAACTGCAACTTCATACTGCTGTCATTTCTAAACCACTCGTCCTACAGCTGTTAAAAGTATTCCAGTGACAGCATTTGGTGAGAAGTTTCCAGAAAAAAAGTTATTCGTGATGGAATTCAAGCGTGATTTCTTTATATTTGGCTGGAAAGCCAGAAGTGGCTATCGTTAGAGCACTCCAGCATTTAAGTGTGAATAAATCTTTTGTGTCTCGTACCATCGTCGTTACCGTGATACTGGTAGAGTAGCCCGACGTCAAGGAAGCGGAGGGAAGAAAATAGCTACATCACCAGAAATGGTTCGAAAAGAAAATAAGCGACTTCATCGAAACCCGCGTCGCAGTGGCCGAAAATGGCTCGAGAGCTGAACATATCGCAATATTCCATTCGGCAAATATTGAAAAATGAACTCAGGGTAATGCCATTGAAATTCCAAAAAATGCACCGCAACAGAAAGAAAATAGACTCAAAAGAGCTAAAGAGTTGCTTCGCTTGGCCGAAAGTGTTGAACTGCCGAATTTGGGTTTCTCCAATAAGAAAATATTCGTTGTCCAGCACTTTGTAAACAAACAAAATTATCGTGTTTACTTGCCAAAGAGGTCAGCTGAAATTTTTCATCTTTGGTTCGCCACCAGAACTCAAGCGCCGGCCATGGTGATGGTGTGGGCCGTCATAACAGCCGATGATCGCTCTCCGACCCTGGCATCAGAATAAATGCCGAATATTATCGCGAAAATATTCTGGAGAGCGTATTAAAGCCTTGGGCACGCAAACATTTTGACCGCAGACTCTGGACATTCCAACAGGACTCAGCACGCGCCACCCACGAATGCTTACAAAATTAGGTTCCTTGCTTCATTCACCAAATCTCCGGATACCAATCCGTTGGACTGTTGTGTCTGGAGTATTTTGGAAAGCAGGGTTGGCACTAAAAAATACCAAAGTGTCGATCACCTCAAGCAAGCGCTTCGCCTGGAATGGGCCAAAATACCGCAGAACAACATTCGGGCAGCGTGTGACGGTTTTATTGGCCGTTTAAAGGTCATAATTCGTGCCAAAGGTGGCCAATTCGAACAAATCTAAACTTATTCTAAAATTTGATGCAATTTCCGACATTTTTGCTTTCATTCAATAAAATTTAAAAAAGTTGTAAAAATTATGGTGTTTGACTTTGTTGCAGTTTTTTTTTATCTCACCCTGTTTATACTGGGTGAAATTGGATATTTCGTACCCTCTATATGAAATTTACAAGTTTTCAAAATGTTGATCCTTTGTGGGGAGGTACTAAAAATAGTAGTCCGATAACTTCCATCTTTCAGAGTAGACGGATGTGTCCCATTTACACATTCAATCTAGGCTATGAACAAAATTTCGATTTTCAAGTTTGGATGAAATTTGGATATTCCGTTCGCTTTATATAAGGTTTACTATGTTTCAAAATGTTGACCATTTTGTGTGGAAGGTACCCGTAAGAGTGGGCCAATATTTCCCATATTCGAACTTAAATTAAGTTTGGAAGAAATGTAACGATGTTTAAAGTTTGGATGAATATATTACTTCATTCGGGAGTTATCATGCGCACCTGACGGACAGACATTTGAAAATCGACAGCAAATTATTTGAAACGGATTCGTTGGAGTCTAAAACCAATAGTTCTTTAGCCTTAAGGCTGAGGGTATACAAATTCGCCCAAACTTTCCAAAGTTATGATATTTTGCTGGTTGTAAAATGTAGATCAATCAGATGGTTCAAAAACAAATACAAAAACCAAACAATGTCGAAACAATTGGGGGTATACCAAAATAATAGGTTGAGGAAAAATAAATCAATTATTTTTATATGAACTATAGGACTGTATTTAATATGCTTCGGAATGTCCGATTTGGGCCAAATATGCACAGTTTTGTTGTATGATTTGTTGCCATTTTAAAGGTAACTTCATAATTCCTCCCTCATACAAGTCCTGCTCTTTATTTGCAAAAACCTCTAGTAGTCGATTTTCACAATCCTCCCTAGATACCAATTTTTTAATCATTAAAGAAATTTTGCAATGCAAGAAAAATATGATAATCGCTTGGTTCCAAGTCCGGACTATGTGGCGCATGCATTAAAACTTTCCAAGCTCCCGAAGTTTCTGGCGAGTCACTGCTGATGTGTGTGGCCTAGCGTTGTCTCCTGTTGGCCAATTCTGACCGTTTCTGGTGAATTGAAAATGATTTAAAACTGTTTTATGGACGATTTTTAGATCCTTGTCGATGTTACGACTGCTAACATGCCAGTCAAATTCGATCATATCTCCGATTTTATCGACATTTTCGACGGCTGACCTACCTGTGCGAGGTGCATCCTTAACATCAAAAATTCCTGAACGGAATCTACGAAACCAAAATTGCACATACAGTGCTGTTACAGTATCGGTACCATAAACATCATTCACAATTTTAGCCTCTTGGCTTACATTTTCGCCTTTGTCAAAGAAAAACTGTAAAATGTACCGAATTTTCTCTTTGTTCATTTCCATTTTTAACACCCTGTAACCCCCAACTGAATGCACCAAACAAAAAAAAAAAAAAAACAGCAAAATATTTTTTTACTGCGTAATGTCATTCCAACGATCTTAAATCTGAAATTGTTTTATCGATACTTTACGAGAAATCTATCAGTACAGCCATCGGCCGAAATAAAATAATGGATTTATTTCTCCCCACCTAATATACACACCATAGGATGCAAATTTTGTCATTTGCCACACAAAAGATCATACAGAAAGTCATTATTTTCCTTACTCAAATTCCGTCTACGTGTAAAATTTCGTGGTGGTTCCATGAGCTATAAATGTGACCTCTTGAGCGATCAGAAAAACATACAAAATAAAATGTTTGATCCATTTGATCCTCTAAATATTGAACTAACATCACCAAAAGCAATAGAGGTCTTTGACCAGAACCTAATATATATGCAGATCGTGTATGCAGATCGTGTAGACTGGGTGAACGGCCTTCGGCCGGGGATTTAAGACTTTCTCCTATGGACAGATGCCAACACCGGCTACGCAACAGAAACTCCTTCTAAATAGAATATTTTTTTGTGTAGCCGGCCTTCGGCCGGGGATTTAAGACTTTCTCCTATGGAAAGATACCAACACCGGCTACGGGACAGAATCTCTTGTTAAATAGAATATTTTTTTTGGGTGACCGGCCTTCGGCCGGGGATTTAAGACTTCCTCCTATGGACAGATGGCAACACCGGCTACGCGACAGAATCTCCTTTTAATTAGAATAGTTTTGGTGGGTAGCCGGCCTTCGGCCGTGGATTTAAGACTTTATCCTATGGACAGATACCAACACCGGCTACGCGACAGAATCTCTTGTTAAATAGAATATTCTTTTTTGGGTGAACGGCCTTCGGCCGGGGATTTAAGACTTTCTCCTATGGACAGATGCCAACACCGGCTACGCAACAGAAACTCCTTCTAAATAGAATATTTTTTTGTGTAGCCGGCCTTCGGCCGGGGATTTAAGACTTTCTCCTATGGACAGATACCAACACCGGCTACGCGACAGAATTTTCTTGTTTTTGTAGGGTTCTAAGGCCCATATCTTTTGATCCACAACAGATAGAGTCACATATCGCACCATTTTGGAAAGGGCAAATTGTGGTCAATCATCTTAGACTGGGTTGGAGAGCGATTATAATGGACCCAAGTTTGACTTTTAGGGAGTTTTTCAAAAAAATCGGGGATCAAAACCCAGTTTTTTTACTATATCTCCAAAATGGTTTGATAACCGGGTAACCGGGTACGTCCCCCAAGTAAAAAAGATATCCCCATAATTAGAGTAAAAATACCTACCTCTGGAAAAAAAATTTCAGAAAAATCTGATCGTTTTTACTAAACTAGAGTTAAGCCCAACTAATTCTTCATTTGTTTTAAATTTCTAGTTTTTTTAATGTTTTTTGTTTAATGTTCCATTGCGCATTTAATACCACATTGTTTCATATCCCAATTGGTTTTCAAAACCACAGTGCAATATTCACTTTAGAATTTTCGCACATGTCACGGACAATAACCTATTCTTATTTCACATTCATCTATAAAAATAAATGGCTGATATGTCATCGGCAATATTGCTATTATATGTATGTCTGGCTTACCAATTTATAAAAATAAATACATTTCTATTACCACAAACGTTTGATAAATGCATTTCTATATAATTAATCTTCATGGGTTTATGACCTAATAGGAGGAGTGTACCTATTAGTTTTTAATCAACATTATACACAAGAATATTTTTGTTCAAAACTACCGTTTAATGTTTTTTTCATCTATGAGTATGATGTCTTAAAGTCAATAACATTTTATTTCATTCAATTTGAAAAACATTTCTGTTTAATTCTTTAAAATAATCTCACAGATGGAATATCCAATCAACACTGAATAAATGCAATTTGTTACACACATCACGTCCATCAAGTGTTTGGTGATTGATTAGTGGCTCATTTGGTTTTGCGTTTTGAAAACAAAATACAAAAAACCAAAACATTTATCGCGATCACTTTCAATTTCAATGGTAATATGGGTGGCATGCATTTATTTGTCCGTTTAATTTGAAATTGAGAGAGGCACACGTTTTTAGGTCGCTATTTAGATCCTAATTTTTAATCAAAAATAATCAAGATTTTCTGTAGAATTATCAGAGCCGTTTAGGCGTGAATTTTTAAAGAATATTTTTGAGCGACCATCACAGCCATTTAGGCGTGGATTTTTAAAGAATATTTTTGAGCGACCATCACAGCCATTTAGGCGTGGATTTTTAATGAATATTTTTCAGCCACCATCAGATCCATTTAGGCGTGGATTTTTAAAGAATAGTTTTCACCCACCACCAGAGCCATTTAGGTGTGTTTTTTTAAAGAATATTTTTCAGCCACCATCACAGCCATTTTGGCGTGGATTTTTAAAGAATATTTTTGAGCGACCATCACAGCCATTTTGGCGTGGATTTTTAATGAATATTTTTCAGCCGCTATCGGAGCTATTTAGGCGTGGATTTTTAAAGAATATTTTTCACCCACCACCAGAGCCATTTAGGTGTGTTTTTTTAAGAATATTTTTCAGCCACCATCACTGCCATTTTGGCGTGGATTTTTAAAGAATATTTTTCACCCACCACCAGAGCCATTTAGGTGTGTTTTTTAAGAATATTTTTCAGCTACCATCACTGCCATTTTGGCGTGGATTTTTAAAGAATATTTTTCACCCACCACCAGAGCCATTTAGGTGTGTTTTTTAAGAATATTTTTCAGCTACCATCACTGCCATTTTGGCGTGGATTTTTAAAGAATATTTTTGAGCAACCATCGGAGGCATTTACCATCCGAATCATTTAGGCGTGGATTTTTAAAGAATATTTTTCACCCATTTAGGTGTGTTTTTTTAAGAATATTTTTCAGCCACCATCACTGCCATTTTGGCGTGGATTTTTAAAAAATATTTTTGAGCAACCATCGGAGCCATTTACCATCCGAATCATTTAGGCGTGGATTTTTAAAGAATATTTTTGAGGGACCATCCAAATCATATAGGCGTGGATTTTTAAAGAATATTTTTGTTTATAGTATTTAGTTCACATATACAAAACATAATCATTATTACCCAATTATTGTTGTTATGTTCTGTAAAATTTTCTAAACCAAATCACGTATAAAATTTCAATCACTTGATGCCTAAACATTAACAAATGTTATTTTCTCTAACAATGTCTGCAGTGTTTTTAAAATTGTACATCAAAATCCTTATTTTACGACTGACCAATAATACACCATACAAATTATGATTGATCCTTGGGAGATAGCAATAATGACATATGTATGTAAACAAAATATTTAATTCTATTACAGCTGCCATTTTGGAACGTGCTGGGAATTTTCTGTAACAGATGTGTGTATATGTGTGAAGCATTTAAAAACTGATTTCCAATGGCAAATTGAATTGTATTGTAGATGCGTCCCGAATTGGAATATTTAAAGCATACTGTGTGTTGAACATTATTGATATATTGCATACTTTTAGTATTAAATGAAATATTGTTTTTAGCATCGATGTGCGGCGGCATGTATTTTGCCAAACCATCATCACCATCAACCA